AAAACCGCATTGTTCCTCCTGAATTCGAGGTTCGACTATCCGTCCAATTTTTCTCTCCAGTACCCTGGCATATACTTTCCTGGGGATTCTGAGGAGTGTGATCCCCCTATAGTTGGAACACACCCTCCGGTCCCCCTTCTTAAAAAGAGGGACCACCACCCCGGTCTGCCAGTCCAGAGGCACTGTCCCCGACCACCATGCGACGTTGCAGAGGCGTGTCAACCAAGACAGCCCAACAACGTCCAGAGACTTAAGGTACTCGGGGTGGATCTCATCCACCCCCGGTGCCTTCCCACTGAGAAGCTTCTTGACTACCTCAGTGACTTCAGCTTGGGTGATGGATGAGTCCACCTCTGAGCCCTCAGCCTCTGCTTCCTCATCGGAAGACATGGCGCCGGGATTGAGGAGATCCTCGAAGTATTCCTTCCACCGTCCGACAATGTCCCCAGTTGAGGTCAACAGCTGCCCACCTCCACTGTAAACAGTTTTGGCAAGGCACTGCATTAGAGACAGCGTTACCTTCCTTTCAAAACACAAATAACCAGTATCCACACTGTTAAGTCACTTGCATTATTTCCTGCGTCCCTGGAATGTACCCTTAAAGTCCCCATGGCATGCTCATTTTCAGCCATTTAATGTTTAATCGTGGGTACCTCTAGATTAGCTTTGCACCCAATAATGCAGATATACTAACTTCTCGCACCTTACAACAGTTCTCTCTAACCTTACAGAAACACAGATGTTAAGGCAGAAGTGTTGCATTGAAGTGCATGCATTTGTACAGGTGTAACTAATAAAGTGGCCAGTCAGTGCATTTGGAACTAAATGAGTTACATGACCACTACTGTTTTAGACCCCTCAGTGTTGCAACTCTTCTGTCTTAAGGGCTCTGGTAGTTTTCATTTTACAGACCCAGTTTCACTTGCAGTATAATATATGTATGTATTTTGTTTGCTTCCTCTAGTTTCTTTAACCGTTCCCTCTCAGACATGGAGTTCCTTGAGGTTCTCACTGATGGCCTCAACCGAGTGCTCCTGGTCCGTGGAGGAGGCCGCGAGGTCATCACTATCTATTCCTGAAAGAGTGGCCCTCTCCCCCACCACCAGCCCTCCGCCGCTCTCTCAGCCCTGTTCCTGTGTCATCTGTGCTCCTGCCCTCTCATTAGCGCTGCTTCATCATCATGTCATCAAGTACATTTATTTCTGTAAGATAGCCCTCTCACACTCAACAAACAGCCCAGCTCAGCTTCAGCACCTCTCCCTCAGCTCCGTCTTCAGCAGACTGATGAGCAGTAGCACATGCTCAGCTACTAAACCCTTCACTTTAGTCTATTAAGCTACTATAACTATTGTAGGCTCTAGACTAATTTAGATGCTATTTAGAGTTTTTCTTAGACTTTCTTTCCTGCTAGTCAGCAATCTATTGTAGTAACACACGCTGAGTTTTAGTAACTCGGAAAGGAGGAGGTGGGTTGTTAGCTGAGGTGTGAGCGCACATGCACGCATGTATATGTCTGTCCTTGTTTTAATCTCTATAGATTCTTTATTTTTTCTCCACATACAAGCGGATTCTGCTCAGAAAGATGAGAGCCAGCTGAAATGAGCTCAATGTAGGTTTGTCTGTTTAATTCCCTCATGGTGATCGGACACCTCCCACAGCCTGTTGTCTTTGATATGATTCAACTTTCAAGGCAAAACACACTGCTGCCCACAGTCAGGACCATCAACTGGAAGCAAGAGGAGACTATAGTCATGTATGTACTGAGAAATTCAAATTAACTTTCAAAGAAGACTGACATGTGGATCAAACCAGCAGTATTATCTTGAACCTGATCACTCCTTTGCATGACATCCTTAAAACTGTGTTTTTACTCAGCTTGTTCTGTTACTGCCATTGCTGTCTTTCCATCCATTGTCCTTTCAGCTCATCTCTTAGTGGCTGTTTATCCCTGTAGCCACTATTAGTGCCAAAAAATACAACAAGGCTAGCTTAGTTTGTAGAGATTGACACGTAATTAAACTGTGAATAGTGCGTTTTCTAGCAGAAGGCTGGTGTGACAGCAAAGTGAGGAGACAGAACAAATCCCTGAGGAGATTATGCCAGCACTGCTCGACCCTCGTGTGGATCACTGTAAATAATGTACAAGCTCTGACGCGTTGTTCGGTATGGGTGTAGTATTTTTGTGAGATACTAAAAAGCTTCTAGTGGAGAGAAAATGTTCCATTATTCAGAGGGACAGCTCAAAATGCTATTTTTTAAAATTAATATATTTATTGCATTTATTTATTGGATGGCATAGGCTCATGTCACAATGGTAACCATCATTGTAACCTCAATAAGCACTGCACCTGCACTGTCTGCCACTGTGCAACAAGTGAAACTTTGATGAATTCATCAAGTTGATTAAAGTAAATGCTAAATGTTATTTTTTCATCTAGAGAACAAATATGTATTTATGTTTATAGATAAAACTTACACATATTGAACAAACTTTATCATTTTGATTGTCACACAGATATATTGTTCTTTTGCCAAATTTGACATGAAATGTGCCATATCGAAGTATGTTTCAGACATAGTGAGCAAAATTCTGATTAAATCACAGATAATAAAATGTGCTAAAAAGAGAAAACCGGGGTGTCTTCAGGGAACTATGTATGGTGATAACACCGTAGCTGGAAAGGCCCCCTGCAGATGATAAAAGAATAAATGTTCAGACCTCCATAAAACTACCAACACCTAGCTGTAGACATAGGCGTATCAGCTTTTACTGGAGTTTGAACATCTGTCGACTGATTCTTCATGGCGTCAAGTCTAAATAAATAGAGAGGACAATGGCTTCTGTAGCTAGGAAACTCACTTTGTCGACAAGACTGAACTCTATGCAGTAGACTCTCCAGTGAGATTTTATATCCTCTAGATTGGTTAAGATTTGAGCCACACGTTCCTGACTGAATGACTTGTGAGCAAATCATACTTAGATTTAAAAAGTGCATCTTGAAAGGACTGTGCAATAGCTGAAATCCGGACTCATGTGATCATGTTATTTATTTTTTTACACATATATTTTGTATATGTAAATTTCGTAAGTCTTATAATATCCAGAATCATCTCACTCTGACCAAGGACAGCTGTCACTTTAATTATTTTCTGTTTCTTTTCTTGGAGAAACTGTTTTTGGTCATTTGCACTTCACTATTTAAAACGGTATTATTGTGTTTTTAGTGTCACTCGAATGTCAGACCATATGTTGTGAATGCTGCTAGTATCAATAGATTTATTTGTATTGTAAATAGAAATGACTAAAGCAACATTAACGATCAAGTTCAAAAGGGTAAAGACACACATATCAGAGGTGGTGGTGGTGGAGGTGGTGGTGGCTATCTCACAAGTCAAGGCTGAACCTATAAACATTTGGCCTACAATTTCTGGACAGCTTTGTGTTTTAATAGAATACTACTGAAAACCATGATGCAGTACTACAACTGGGCAAATCCTCCACCCTTTTAATATCTTTTTAAAAAGAAATGCTCCCTGGTTATTATCATCTTAAATCCCATGAGCAAAGCAAACCAATTTTAAGGTAAAAGATGATTACTTTACATAGTTTACTTGAAGAAAATGCCAAAATATATTTAAATATATTTATCTGCTAAATGTTAGTCTGCACATTTTTTAACACACCTACCTTTTACACATTAAGATGCAACCATTCCTTAGTTTTCAAAGATTCTAGAGTATCAAGTCAAAGATTTTCTTTAATATGCTTGTCACTCTTACTATAACTCTGACAAAGAGGCTATTTAACGCTCGCATCAGTTTTTGAGGAACATGGCTATTTTGGGATCGTCTCCACAACATTGCCTGCTTCAACTGAGCCTTTTAAATTTATTCAAAAGAAACGATATCTGATGTGTTTCGGAGACATTTACTGGAAATGAATTTATTGAATTATAAATGTTTTATAATTGCTGTTTGCATGGTACTATGTGGCAATATTTGTTTTAGTGGTTTCTATAGTAATGACTTACATGTTCAAGGCGTAGAGTCGGGGAAAAGCTTGTCAAATGTTCTCACTGAGTTGCACATTTTGACAACTCTGGAGTGTTTGCTGTATAGCTAGACCTTGCAAACAAGTCTTTTGCAAAAAATAAAAAGTATGAGTTCAGTATAATATACTTGTTATATTTCAATCTTGCTCAAGTAGTCTTATGTAACGTAAAAGGAGATTTTGAGTTTGCGAATGGATGGGCATAAGAATGGTCATATCATCTTTGTAAATATGTATCACTTAAGTCAGAGACACTGTAACCTACTAGTGTTGTCTTTTGTTGTACACTGTTCTATTACTGTGGACAAAGTCTTAGAGTTTCGTAAGATTATGTGCAATATTGTTCCCATATGGATTATTTTGTCATGGTTATGTTTTTATTTTATATAAATTGGATGTGTTAGCAGTCACTTATTTCATCAGAATGTTTGTCACCAGGTCTTATGGGCCTTACAGATCTAAAGTGTTCATCCCATATGTGGCTAAGACAGCAAAGCACTTTACACTGAGGGGATTCTCTGTGACAGGATTGGTCTCCGGGAGTTGGGGGAGTCAAACAAGAGCCAGTTTGTTCTGTACAGACTATCCCACAGTGATCTCTGGTGGCACATGAGTGTATTACAGCCAGCTGTGGCAGTCAGACAGCTCAGACTATGAAATATGACTAATTCCCATCATCTTGATGCAGTGCACAGCAAAAATCTACCTACTTGATCTTCTCACTTGAGCATTTTCTCAAACATGTTTAGAATGCATCACATTCTTTACTTTCTCTTGCCAAATTTCTTTAGAAGAATAATAGTAACTGTTAAATTTATAGTGTTTGTTACTCCGATCTGTGAGGTGAGCCTTTGCAGAATCAGAACCACCCCCACCCCCACTCAATCTGCCCCACATCACTGGCCTCCCCACCCACAGCCACTGCCCCAGCTCTGTATTTCAAATATGACTGCAGTATAACTTCTGAAAATGATCAAAGAATATAAAACTTGCGCTTCCAGTTCTGGTACCAGCTCTGCTTGGACAACACTAGATAGTCAGCTTAGAAACCAGCACGTCCCTCTTCCCCCAGCTGATCCATGATTTAGATCAAATTCATCGCCTGCACAACTGTAGCATGAAACAAACTTGCTGGTGATAATTACTCGGGGTGTTTTCACACCTGGTCCCTTTTAAATGAACCAAACTCGGTCCTCTTTAAAGTGAAACAAAAAAGGGACTCGGTTCTTAATGTGTTCGCAATGCGAGTACATTTGAAAGAGGACTCGGTTCTCTTTCTGGTCTGCTTCAGCCCTGATGGGGCCTCGCTCCTCTTTCTGTTCATACTATAGTGACTCTGGAGCTCTCAGACATTTACTGCTTTTATGTCAAAGGATGCTCTTCTTTATTTTATTTCGTGTGGTAAAGTACTTCTGATGTCATTTTTTTCCACTTTGATGCCGCACTGCAGTGGGGTCCTAATGAAGCCCCTCACTCTCATATGAGCTGAAAACTGAAGGAAACCCTGAGCGTATCTGTGCATTATAGACTTTGTAGTTTGATGTGTTCTTTGTTCTATATCTGGAGAAGTGCAGTAGTTTCTTCCTTGCACCAAATTACTCATCCATATGGCTATCATTAAGATTTTTAACAGTACTACCCCCAATACCACTTATTAATCTGGTACTTTATTCCTGTCGGTCGTTTTGTTAAGTTAGATTAAGAAGAACGTTAACATTACTTTATTTTCTCATATTTACTGTCAACATTCTTGGGTAGCAAATTGCAACAGCATTGTTTTGAACAAACCACTAGACTATAATGTGATTACTGTAATGTAAAAAAAAAAAAAAAACCGAATGCAAAACATTTTTTGACAGTACTTCTACTGCGAGGTGCCTCCAGCCCTCAAGTCTTTATATCCGCCCCTGCTCTGAGCGCTCAAATGAAACTGGACTTCTGAACAACATGATGCTTTGACCACTGCAGACTGAATTTATGAACGAAGCCAAAACAATCAGTTGGCTATTGGTTATTTTTATTCATTAACCCATATTCGTCAAATTTAGTTAACGCCGTGCGGCGGCTCAAGGCTGCTTAATATAAATAACGTACACGGGCAAAGAGAATCTACAAGCTAGTCAGTAGCAAACTGCATTTCTCCATGATGCGCTGTCACTAGATATTTCAACAGATAGCTGGTTCTCAGTTCTGTTCATTCCAGAGGGGTCTGCGTTCATTTGGAGTGTTCACATTTTGTTTTGAGGGCTGAAATGGGCCAGGTGTGAAAACACCCTTAGTCTCCATCCTTAAATGGATATTAAGGGCTCTGAAACATCTGTTACTGGGTTGAGAAGGCTGTCCCATTACAACACTGACAAAGAAAATACAAATTATATATACAGTGAGTGAGAGGGCGGTCTGTAGCTGAAATAAGGTCAAACCCCTTCAGTATATCCTCATAGAAGTCTCAGAGGTGCTTGATGTTGAAGGTGAAAATAGCAGCTGCACTTAAAATTTACAAAGTCAGTGTCTCTGGGAGTTACAAGAAATCTTAAGTGGCTATCCATGCAGTGCAAGCAGAGCTCTGTGCCAGTTATGTTGTGTAACTCAGTGCATGCATGCAATTACCCTGAACGAGGTGTATTGATAAATATATTGAGTGTCTGTGGTATAAAAGTATTTTGTTTATGTATTTTTTTCTTTCCTTAAGACTGGCTAATCATTATAAGATGAATGGGCCACATTCACCAACATCTTCCCGTTTTCTTAAAATTCTTTCTAGGCTATTCTTAAGAAAGGTCCTAAGAAAAGTCCAAGTCTGATTCATGAACGTACTGTTAAACCTCACCGGTTCGTAAGTTACCCAAGCGCATACCAGTTGTTCCAGGAATGCTACAACGAAAATCTAAACACGGTGGAGCAATAAACTCCAAACTGAAGAAAAACCTCAAATCTGAGGCAACAAAGCAAATACAGAAGAGAGACACTGACCAGTGGAGGTTGACAGGCTGGCCCAGAATTATCTGAGCTGGACCAGCGCATCGGGGTCATACACAGAACTTTCTGGTGTGCCATCGGCTGAGCTTACCTCTTTGCGTGCACCCAGGTCCCTTCGATTGTCCAGAGTCTGATCTCAGATGCGGTGCTGGACAACCAAACACTTACATGCTGGCCCAAAATATCCAAGAGACAGAAAATGGCAGAAATTAGAAATAAAGATATTTGGTTTTAAGTAACGCATTTCCTAATTCTAAGCTACAAATATTCACGCTCTAGCAGTTAAATTTTTTTTAAACCTTGATTTATAAACAAAGCAATTAATTGCTGTAATTTTAGTGTAGTCTATTCGTTTTAAAAGACCAGTGCTTTGTAAAATAATGGGGAAAATAAAGATATACAGTAATGACAGGTGTTATATAAGATTTAACTTACAATAACAGTAGAACTGCAGAAAACCACATAACCATTTATTTCACCAAAATGTCAGCTCCTGTACATTCTGTTCTTACCTACGAACCAATCCCAGATCAGAAAACACCCAATGCCAGAATCTTCATGAAAACCTCTCAAGTGGGTTTTATGTACAAATTAGTTGGAAAGAACAGTTTGGTGAATGTGGCCCCATATTATTATAAGACAAGATTATTTTTATGGTGGATTTGTTGAGTAGTTACTCTGTGTCATATCTATTACCAAAGTATATTTCAGTTAATTACAAAAAAAGAAGTATGCTCCAGTGAATTAGATAAGTGAATGCTGTTTGCCTTTTTACCATAATTTGTAGCAATTAAGAGTTAATAGATAAAATGCTGATTCAATAGGGTTAAGTACCAAAATATTAGGAGATGTCAGCACATTTACAATTTGATGGAAATTCTTTGAAAAACCAGGGTCCAAAACTTTAAATGTCCTTTTGAGTTAGCAGTTGTGGTTCTGTGCAGTGTATTGAATATAAACATTTTAAAACATCAGAATTGGTTATGTAGACGTTTGGTCAAGCTTTAAATGAAAAACTTGACATTTTGAGAAATCCACTTATTCACTTGCTTGTCGAGAGTTAATGTTATCACAAAGACTGGAGATGGGGAAACAGCTAGCCCAGCTCCAAAATTAACCCTCCCAGAAGTATATCTAAAGTACAGAGACATACTTGA